ATAAGGATTTGGTGCTAGGATCCACATATGAGGGAGAACATACATCGATTTGTTGTTGTTGTTGTTGTTGGATTTTGTTTTTCTGAATCTGTGTTAGTATAACAGCCAAAACAACCCTGAGCACTAAGAGCAATGCTGGGGGGATTCCTATACCAGATTTTAAACTGTATTACAGAGCTATAGTCATAAAAACAACATAGTACTGGCACAAAAATAGACATGTAGATCAATGGAACAAAATTGAAGACCCAAATATGAATATATGCAATTTCAGCCACCTGATATTTGCCAAAGGGGCCAAGAACATCCACTGAAGGAAAGACAGCATGTTCAGCAAATGGTGCTGGCAAAACTGGATCTCTACCTATAGAAGAATGAAATTAAACGCCTATTTTTCACCTTGCACAAAAGTCAACTCCAAATGGATCCTGAATGTGAAGCCTGAAACTCTGAAATTGTTAGAAGAAAACATTGGCAATAACCTACAAAATACGGGTGTAGGAAAGAATTATCTAAACCAGACATCAATTGCTCAAGAAACAAGGTCAAGGATCAACAAATTGGACCTCATCAAACTAAAAAGCCTCTGTACATCAAAAGAAGCAACCAAGGAAGTAAAGAGAAAACCCACAGAATGGGAGAAAATCTTCACCAGCAATACATCTGACAGAAGTTTAACATCCAGAATATATAATGAACTAAAAAAAAAAAAGAATCAAGAAAGGAAGTAACCCAATGAAAAATGGGCTAAGGAACTGAACAGAGAGTTCTCAAAAGAAGAAATAAAGATGGCCAAGAAGCATCTTAAAATATGTTCAACATCATTAGTAATCAAGGAAATGCACATTAAAACCACTTTAAGATTTCATCTTACCCCAGCCAGACTAGCTATGATTAAGGGAATAACCCCTATGGAAAGCAGTGTGGAGAACTCTTAAAAAACTATACATGAACCTACCACGCCTTGGCATATACCCAAAGAACTCATCCTCTCCCAGAGACACTTGTACATCCATGTTTGTTGCTGCTCTTTTCACAATAGCTAAGAGATGAAAGCAACCTAAGTGTCCCTCAACTGACAAGTGGATAATAAAATGGTATATTTACACAATGGAGTTCTATTAGCAGTAAAGAAAGATGAAATAATGAAATTTGCAGGTAAGTGGATGGAACTAGAAACTGTTATCCTAAGTGAAGTAACATGTGGACTTCTTAAAAATTAATTTTTATTGAAATTTTGTGTA